GTGGTGATGTCTGAGTCAACAAGTATTTAGAGTCTGGAGAAAAAGCCATGCTAGTAAATCTCTGAACTGGGAAGTCAAAATTACTAAGGATTTTGCGCTTCCGGCAAGGGATGGATGATAGTTCATAAATGGTGATAACAGGTTTTTCTTGCACCGTCTCAGAGATAGCGAGGTATCGTCGATTGGGACTGATGGACAAGGCCAACATGCCTTGACTCTTGTCCGAGCCTGAAAACAGAGATAAAAGGGGATAATGAGGGTAGATCATGCTTTTACCAAGATTCAACACGAACCAGGCACAGTGGTAGACACTGCCGATGCAACAGGAGAAAAGTGCAGAAATAGGGAATTGCCAATCTGTGAAGCCCCTTGGTACAACTGTCTGGGGTATTATGAAAATGACTAGGATGGGCACTTCCCTGAGGTGGGAGAAATCAGGGAATGATTCCTGAAAGAGGACAAAGTGGGACAGGGAGTGGGGTAGGGCAGGTGGCAGGAAGAGCAAAGGTGTGGGTGTGAGAAACTGGGATGTTGCCAGAGCATTGCATGAGACAAAAAATGGATCTAGAGGGGTGGAATAGGGTCAGATCATAGAGTCCTTTATGTCCTGAGTGGGTGATACTCAATACTCTTCCTGTATTTTCAAGGCTGGGATGCTAACTACTGGATTCCTCAGCCTCCCTTGCAGTTAGGTGATCTACGTGACATACTGGCCATGAGATAAATGCAGAAGTATGCTGGACTGGCTTTATGGTAAAGCTGTGCTTTCTTGAAAACCAGGGATGGAAGCATTCTATCCCCCTTTTCCTGGAATACAGAAGAGATATCTGGAGATACAGAAGCCATCTTGCAATCATGCAGTAACAAGCATGAGAATGAAAGCCCTATGTTCTCCAAACAGCAGCGCCTGGGGCAAAGATTAAAGTGCAAATACTTTATTTGGGAAATGTGATCAGGGCTGCGTTATAATTTTCATGGGCTCTAGGTATTTTTGCTTTCAGGGACCCCTGCCTTTATCAAAAAGATTAAAAATTATATTTTGTGACTGCACTGGTATAAAGAGGAATAGATCCAGGCTGGATTCATTATGATATAGTCATTATTATAATATTCACTTTTTCCTGATTTTCAAATAAATTAAAACTAACTTAATATATGAGAAAGGAGGCAAGATATACAATGTAGTAGAGACAGTCTCTTCAATAAATTGGACAGATACATGCAAAATAAAAGAAACTGTATACAAGAATGCGCTCAAAATGGATTAAAGACTTAAATGTAAGACCCGAAACCATAAAACTTCTAGAAGAAAACATAGGCAGTAAACTCTCTGATATTGCTAACAGTAATTTCTTTTTGGATATATCTCCCCGGGCTAGGGAAACAAAACAAAACAAACAAACAAAAAGAAAAATAAACAAATGGAATTACATCAAATTAAAAAGTTTTTGTACAGCAAAGGAAACCATCAACAAAACAAAGAGACAACCAACTGATTGGAAGAAGATATTCGCTAATGATACATCTGGTAAGAGGTTAATATACAAAATATATCAAAAACTCATACAACTCAACAACAACAAAAACAAACAATCCAATTAAAAAATGGGCAGAAAACCTCCAAAGATGTTTCTCCAAAGAGGAAATACAGATGGCCAATAGACATATGAAAAGATGCTCAAGGTCACTAATTATCAGAGAAATGCAAATTAAAACCACAATGAGATATATCATCTCATATCTGTCAGAATGGCTTTCACCAATAAATCAAAGAACAAGTGTTGGCAAGGATTTGGAGAAAAGGGAACTCTCATACACTGTTGAGACTCTTATACAGTGGTGGGACTGCAAATTGGCACAGCTACTATGGAAAACAGACTGGAGGTTTCTCAAAAAATTAAAAATGGAAATACCTTTTGACCCAGCAATTGCACTTCTGTCCAAAGAAAACCAAAAAATAATTCGTAAAGATCTATGCACCCCTATGTTCATGGCAGCACAATTTACAATGGCCAAGATAAGGAAGCAACTTAAATGCCCATCAACAGACAACCAGATAAAGAAACTATCCGGTATATATACAATAGACTATTACTCAGCCATTAAAAAAATGAAATCCTGCTATATGCAATGACATGGATGGACCTAAAAGTTATTATGCTGAGTGAAATAAGTCAGATAGAGAAAGCTAAATACCGTATGATTTCACTTATATGTAGAATCACAAATATAAAGGACAATTTGGTGATGGCCAGAGGGGAGGGGGATTGGAGGGCTGGGAAAATGGGGTGAAAGGTTAAAGAAGTACAAATTAGTAGTTGATAGATGGCCATAGGGATGGGAAGCACGGCATAGGGAATGCAGTTAGCATTAATGTATTGGCTAGGTGGAGAGCCAGGGGTGAGAAAGAACAATTACGAGAATTGTTTTATAAACTATATAAATGTCTAACCAATGTACTGTATACTTGAAACTAATGAAATAAAATAAAAAATTAAAAAAATAAATTAAAATGAAAACATTTTCTTGGATCCTTAAATGTACCACGGGCCTTAGGCTGTGTGTCTATTGTGCCTTGTGGATAAATCCTCAACTCAGTTAACAGCAACCTCATCCTTCTGGTTAATCAGGCCAAAAACCTTGCTGCTTCTTTTTCTCTTCTACCCTCATAAGGTCTGTGAGGAAATCTGTCACCTCCACTTTCAAAATATATCCAGAATTTTATTTCTTCTTACCATCCCTATTGCCTACAACCTGCTCCATGACACCATTTTCTCTCACCTGGATTATAGCAATAGTCTCTCAACTGGTCCCCTGTTGAAACATGAGTCAGATCATGTTACTTTGCTCAGAATCCCCTCATGACTTCTCATTTCACTCAGAGTAAGAGCCTATGACTTACAAAGCCCTATGTGATGTTGTTACCCATTACTTGTCTGCACCTTTCGTTCCTACTCCATTCACTCCACTCTAGCCACATTGGCCTCCTTACTACTCCCCTAACACAATGAGCATCCTCCTAACTCTGAGCCTCAAAGGTGAAAGGCAAAACTATAAAGCATAAAAGAGATAATATAGGAGAACACTGATAATCTTGGCTTAAGGAACAACTACTGAACAAGACACAAGAATGAAAATGTTAATAAACTTGACTTCATTAAAACTAAGAATTTGTGTTCATTAAGATACCATAAGGAATGAGAAAACACAAGCCCCAAACTGGAAGAAATTACTTGCAATACATATATCTGACAAAGGGTTTGTACACCATATATAAAGCGTGCTCATAAGTGTAAGAAAATTACCTGAAAAAGCATAGAAAATGAGTAAAAGACATGAATAGGCATTTCACAGAGAACTAAATAGGAATAGCCCATAAACATGTGAAAAAAACATTCATCTTCATTAATAATAGAAATGCATACTAAAACCAATAAGATACCATTTCTCAATTACTAGATTAGTAAAAAATTAGGAAGTTGGACAATACCAAAGGCTGGTGAGGCTGTGGAGGGATGGCAACTCTCATGAGCTCCTGATGAGAGTGTAAACTGTCACTACCACATTAACCAGTAATTTTAGTCCTGGCTGTGTGCCCTGGAGAATTGCCGTTCAAGTGGATGAGCATACATGGATGAGAGAATTTTATACTGACATGGTTTGCAAAAGAAAAAAAAAATCAGTGTTTCTCAAATGTCCATCAACACCAGAATAGACAGATATATTTGGGACATTAGATTCATAGGATGGGATAAAATAAACTCAAGATGCATGTAATATGTATGAAGATGTATGGTCTCAAAAGCATGAACAAAAGAAGTAAGTCAAAGAATATACATACTATGATTCCATTTATGCAAACTTAGTAAATAGTGAAAACAAAACTTTATCTTACATGGGGTTACACAAGTGTGGTAAAACTATATGCAAGAAAGAGGGGGAAAAGAGAATAAGTTGTGGAAATCATGTATATCATCAACAGTGAACAAAAACAAATGTAACATTATACAAATGATTATTTGTGACTTCAGATAATATTGCTAGTGTCTTAATCATACATGAATTCAAAAGGTGCTGGAATGAGGGTGGTGTACACTGGAAAACTGTGTTAGACAATTCAAAAAGTGGCCCTGGTAATGACAAAGACAATGATATTGATGATGCATGAAAAGAGACTCTTAAAAATAAAACTTTCCCATTAAATCACAGTGAAAAAAGTACTTTTAAATTAACACTCTTTTACATGTGATTTTAACTGTGTATGTGTGATTAAGCTATATATTAAATAATGCAAGTAGGTATGTATTTCGTCTACATTTATAAAGCTATACGATTATTCAAGTTGGACAAAAAACTTTTCTTTTCAATCGTGCTGGGATTACGGAGTTATATTTGCCACATAAGGTCAATGTATGTGTCAGGATAGAAAGGATTTTACCTGGAATGAATTTTTGCCACTTCTGATCCATATTGTACTTCACACAGTGATTTCCTGAAGGAAATATAATTATCTGTTCATCGAAGAAGAAGATATTGTTGGCCACGTGAGATTGAAGACCAAAAACATGCAGTGATTGAGCTACTACGGTCGACATGGTCCTTGGCCAAAGAGTTCTGTAAAGAAGACCCAGCGCCGCAGGTAGAGAATCGCCCCGCCCCGGACACGCCCCTGGCCCCGCCCCCGG